TGAGCGACTATCATCCCACATACAAAGCAGGCAAACAGCTTGTCATCACGGCCTCTCTGCTCCTATGATGCTGCTTGGCCTGCTGTGTTCATCCAGCCCTGCACCTTGTTGTCTCGGATTCTCCAGCATCTGCAGTTCCTACTATCTCTGTCATCAGTATCAATGGGTTTGTAGGACAGCGAGTCCATTTTTCTTTTAAATATCTGATTACAGAATATTAAAAAGTGTTCTTATCAAAATGAGGAAGTTGCTCTATAATGACTGATTTGAATCTTTTGCCACACACAGAACAGATGATGGTTCTCTCCCCGCTGTGAATTTGCTGGTGGACAGTGAGTTCACATAATCCCCTTCAGCCAGTCCCACAGTGAGAGCACCTGAATGGTCTCTTGTCATTGTGAACACATCAATAGCAGGTCAGCTCCATAGAATTTTCACAGCACATCCTTCAATCAGACACTTAAAAGCTCTTCTATCAGTGAGCACTTGGCAATGTGTCCGCAGATTTCTCATAAATATGGCAATCAGGGGTTGTGGGGATAAGGCAGGAAAGTGAAGTTGAGGATTATCCAATGAGCCGTGATCTCTTTTGATGGTGCATGATATGATGGGCTAAATGGCCTACTTCTGCTCCTTATGTCCTTTCTGCACCACCATAGCCCAGGCCCTGTCACAACATGGCCTGCTTTCAGCACAGCCAACCCATTTTCACCTACGCATAATCCCCATTATCGGCATTTCTTTCTCCCTGGTATACTATCATCCATCCCTTTTTCTGCCCAACTATTATTCTCTTTGCCAATCACTCACACTTTTTCTCCACTTCTTCCCCCACTCCATCCCACTTCAGTTTAGTCACCACTTTTCATTAACCTCACCTCAGCCTTTCAGCTTCTTTTTCCATTCCCTTTTCTCACATGTAATTGCATAAGTTCCTTTTGAAAGTAACTCAGCATATTGTTTGAAACATTTCCTGTAGTGGTGAGCTCCATATCCCAACAACAGAGGAAAGACACTTTTCCTTATTTCCCTGTTGGTTTTATGAGGAACTACCTTGTGATCATGGTCCTTCATTTAGGATCTTGCCCTCAAGTAAAAACATTACCTTCAGGTCTACAAGGTCCTACATGGTAGACTGGGCATAAAAGTAAAGTGCATGAGATCCAAACACAAGTTACAATTTCCATCCAAAATTGACTGGATGGTTGGAAGCAATGAATGATGGTCACTGGGTGTTTGTTGATGCGATAGGATGATTACTTCCAGTGAGGTAGCACTGGCCTCAATCCTGGGTCCTTCGTTCCTGAATTATATCCTTGATGCAGATGAGATGAGTTGACTCCTTCATCCAAGTCAGTGGTATAGATTGAAATAGTTGAAATCCCAGCACTGATCTGTGGTACTCCACGAGTTAAAGTTTGTCAACCTGAAAACTAATCATTTGTCAGGCTGTTGAGAGCAAAACTTCTGCCATACTGACTGCCAACACCATGAGCTCTCAGTTTGCACAGAGACCTTTTACTTTGCATCTTATTGAAATCCAAATACAAAACAGCTCCTCTTCTTTCTTCACCCTCCTTGTCACATCTTCTGAGAGGTCAAAGTTTCTCATTCTTGTTGGAGGTGAGGATGGAGGAAATAGGACAGAGGGAAAGCCCTTCATAAGGAAGTAACATGTTAGAAATATTATTGACCAGATCCTTGTACACAATTCACAGCAAGCTAATGCAATGGTGTTACCAAATATTAGGAGGATAACTAATGGGTTGACAGTTATTACCAGGGGATGGGACTAGGGAACAAAATCTTGCTGTCATTATACAGAGGACATGCTCACCATGAACCAAATCAAAAAGGCTAACGGATGAATATGGCAATTTACAGATATTACAGAGAGGAAAGACAAACAGACAGACAGACACACACACACACACACTGGCCAAGGGACAGAGAGTGACAGAAGGATATTTGGATTTCCAACAGGCATCAGTTCAGGTCAGTTTTCGATTTAAAAAATGAAGATTTTCTTGGTGAAAATAGTTTGGAAAGTAAAGTGTGAAGAGGATGTGAGGGATATTCAATTGAGTGATGTAGAGATGGTCAGTGCATGGGTAAAACATTGTCTGATGTGGTATAGAGTGGAGAATGTGATGTTTCTCAGGAATAATTGATAAAGAGTCTTTAATTTAAATGGGGAGATGTTGCAGATCTCTGGAGGTACAGAGGGATCTGGGTGTCCTGGGATATGAATCACATTGAGTTAGTCTGCAGGGGCAAATGTGATTAGAAAGGCCAAGGGATGGTTTTTGTTTTTCATTTGTTCACAGGATGAGAGCAATATTTATCCCCCACTCCTATCAGCCCGAGAGAAGGTGGTAGTGAGCTGGCTATTTGAACGGCTGCATTCCAAAAGCCTGTCTATTTTGGACAAACAGAATGTAGTAGAAATTAAACTGCAGCTTTCTCTTTTCCTGCTCCCAGTTTAACATTCAACCATTTAGTTTCTACTCAGTTAGAGACTGGAATCTCATTGATGATCTCAGTGACTTTATATAGAGCATAACACAACGGGGAATGAGTTACACTCTGAAATGCAATCAAGGGATTTGGGTAATTTATATACAGACTAACAGATAGTAGGAAGTGAGTTACAACATGGAATCTAATCGAGGTGTTGATGTCCAGAGTCACAGATACCTGGGAGTTACTGACTAGAAACTAATTTGAAGGGGTTTGGGGTGGTTTATATATAGAAAACAGATACACAGGAGTGAGTTACAGACTGGAATTTAATCAAAGGCTTCAGGATGGTTTATATACAGAATAAAAGATACTCAGGTGTGCAATACAATCTTTAATTTAATCAAGGAGTTCAGGTGTTTTATGTACAGATTTACAGATACATGGGAATGAATTACAGATTGGAATCTTCATGAAGCATTCAGGGAGGTTTTAAATATAGAATAACAGATATACTGGAGCAAAGTAGAGATTGGAATCTAATCAAAAGGTTTGGGGTGGTTTGAAAATTCGAGGCAAACTTGAGATGTGTGAAATTTCAGGGTTGAGATTGGAAGGGGGCGAACATGGGAGGGTGTGCAATTGAGGGAGTGGCAGCACAAATGTGGAGCAGGTGTAAATTGGGAACAGTCACAAATATGGGGCAGGGATATTGTCTGGGGGAGGGCAAAATTTGGAGGGGGGTCAGTGCCAAATCTGAGATAAAGGTAAACAACAACAGTTGGGGAAGGGCAAAATTTGGGGGCACGATAATAGAAGGAACTTGAGGCTTGCAAATTATGGAGGACACAAGAGGGGGGGGGGGGGGTTCTACATAATTGGGGAACATGCAACATTCCAGGAAGTGCATAATTTGGGTGGGCATAAAATCGGGATAATTTGCAGAGGGCTGCATAATTCAGTGGGGGGGTGGGTGCGGTGCTGCAGTTGAGTGCAATATCTTGGAGGTCAATATTTGGGATGCAAACTTTGGCTGGGGCACAAAATGAGGGTGGGCAAAATTTGGGGAAGGGTCCAAACATTTTAAGGAGCTTATCAAAATTGTGGGTGTTGTTTAATTGGGGCGGATGAAGTCATAGTGGGGTGCAAGATGAAGCAGTACATAATTTGGGGGGAATTTTGGGGGCTGCAAGAGCGAACAATATCAGTGGGTGCAAAACTGGAGGGTAGACAAAAGATTGGAGACATCAAACTGGGGGTGTGAAAAATCAGGTAGGGCACACAAATTTCAGGGGTGAACATCAGTTTTAGGGGGTGCAATATCTGGATGGGGGTACAGTATTGGGGGGCTACATAATGGGGGGTTCATTTTTGGAAGGGATGCAAAACATGGGGGTAAGGAAACAGCAAGATTTCGGGTTTGTAAAATTGGAGAGGACCACACAAACTGAGCAGAGAGGGAAACCAATGTTAGGAGGGGTGCAAAATATATGGGACAGTTAAATTTGGTTGGGATACAAAACCTGGGAAGAGGACTGCATCATTTTAGTGATGCATAATTTGTGGAGCAGCTGCAAAGCAAGACTAGGGGAAACACGGCGAGGCAGGAGAATGCAGCAAGGTGGGGGTAATGTGGCAATGACAAAACAAAAGGGGTAAAAGAGAGAGGGAAAGAACAGAGACAAAGGCAGGAAGACGAGGTAAGTGTCAGAAATACAAAAGAAAGAGAATGAAAGAGAGAGAGAGAGATAGGGCAAAGGTAAAGACAAAGATAGGGACTAAAGACAGATGGGGAGAAAAAAAAGAGTAGGGAAAAAAACAAAACCAGAAAGAAGAGGTAAGAGTCAGAAATACCAAAGAAAGAAAAAAAGACAGAAAGAGAATATAAGAGACAGGGACTAAAAACAAGAGAGAGACAGAGAGAGTAAAGGAAAAAAGTCAGAGATACAGACAGGAGTTAAGGAAAGAAATGGAGAGACTGAGGAGGGGATATTCATCATTCCAGTGGGTCCCAGCTCTCTCGATGATTCAGGATGGTGGTATTGAGATTCCAACAGTACCCACAGTCTCACGTACACACAGACAGAAATTCTCTGATAATGACCTCCTGCTCCGTCCACATGGCAAAAGGAACTACGGCTGCCAGGACCTACTTTAAATATCTTCAGGTCTGTCACTCAAAGACCCCTCTCCGCCCAAATCCCAACTCATCCAGTCAGCTTCCAGCTCTCTCTCTACCTGGAGCACATCTCTCCCAGGTGTGGAGCATACCAAAAGGCATCTTTGTGAGATTAGAGGGAGGTGGTGTGAGAGAAAGCAGCAGCTCAATAGTTTAAGATAACAGGGCATAGTGCTGGATGAACACAGCAGGCCAAGCAGCATCAGAGAAGCAGGAAAGCTGACGTTTTGGGTCTGGGTCCTTCTTCAGATTCATTTAGTCAATGGGACACAGGCTTCTGCAACCAATTGATGCAATTTATTCCACAAGGGAATACAGGATTTTCACACGTATCAACAAAAAGGTGTAAGTGGGACTGAAATGAACAAGTCACCAAATTTACTTTTAATGAGTTGAGAATTCTACAAATGAATCAATCCATTTTACAAATGAACGGTGATTACACAGATCTATTGTATGAATTAACACAAGTTCATTGTACAAATGAACTTGAGCTTATCAAACAGATAAACCCTGACGATATACCAATGGACATTGTGTCTGTATGTGTCCAAATGTGCCTGCCATGGGACACTTTGCCCTGGAGTCTCTGTATATGTGTCTGTGAATCTGGCATTGTGCATCTGTGTGTGAGAGTGTATGTGCGCATGCACGCGCATGTGTGTGTGTGGGAGAGAGAGAGAGCGCGAGTGCGAGTGCGAGGGTGGGGGTGTGCGCACACATGTGTACCCAGTTGTGCCTGCAATGGGACACATGATGAATCTGTCTGTCTGTGTTGCTGTGTCTGTCTGTCTCTCTCTCTCTCTCTGTCCCTCTGGTGTTTAAAGCGATACAACACAACCGTCTGCTGGCCTCCCCATCTCACATCACAAGCACCACATATTTCCCTTTTCCATTGCATCTGCTTCCAAGTCCTCCAGGCAGATGCATCAAGTCCTCCGTCACATCGATCAACCACTCCTCCAGGGGCTGGATCAATCAAAATTTTATTAAGAACAACAACAGCACCAGACACTTGCCTTGCAGTTGTGAACTTGCTGGTGTCTCAGCAGGTGGGATGACTGAGAAAATCCTTTCCCACAGAGGGAGCAGGTAACAACTTCTCACCACTGTGTATTCGCCGGTGTCTCAGAAGGTTGTTTGAATGGACAAATAGTTTCCCACACTCGGAGCAGGGGAATGGCCTCTCCCCAGTGTGAATGTATTGGTGTGTCAGCATGTCACGTCTCTGTTTAAAGCTCTTCTCACAGTGTGAACATTTGAAAGGTCTCTCATCGGTGTGAACCAGTTGGTGTACCTTAAGGTGGGATAACTGAGAGAATGCCTTGCCGCACACAGAGCAGATGAATGGCCTCTCCCCAGCGTGAACTCTCTGGTGTTTTAACAGGTGGGCTGACCGAGTGAATCCCTTCCCACACTCGGGGCAGATGAATGGCCTCTCCGCAGTGTGAACTCGCTGGTGTCTCAGCAAATATGATGACTGGGTGAATCCTTTCCCACAAATGAAACAGATGAATGGCCTCTCCACAGTGTGAACTCGCTGGTGTGCCAGCAGATTGGACGAGGCACTGAATCTCTTACCACAGTCAGGGCAGATGAATGGCCTCTCCCCAGTGTGAGTGCGTTTATGTTTCAGAAGAGCAGATGACTGAGTGAATCCCTTCCCACACTTAGGGCAGATGAATGGCCTCTCCCCAGTGTGAACGCGTTGGTGACTGCACAGGTTGGATGAATCACTGAATCCCTTTCCACACTCGGGGCAGATGAATGGCCTCTCCCCAGTGTGAACTCGATGGTGGGCCAGCAGGTTGGATGAGTCACTGAATCCTTTCCCACACTTGGGGCAGATGAATGGCCTCTCCCCAGTGTGAGTGCGTCGATGAGTTTCCAGCTGGGATGGGTATTTAAATCCCTTCCCACAGTCCGCACATTTCCATGGTTTCTCTGTGGTGCAGGTGCCCTTATATCTCTCCATATTGGATGATCAGCTGACTCTTCACTCATACAGAAGACAGGGATACAGTGTAACTGGCTCGAGCTCTCTCCACAGTCAGTTCACCGGAACACTGGGTGGATGTACCTTGGTCCATTTCCAGTCACACTGATGTTGAAAATCTTTTTCCACAGATAATGTTTTTCAAATCTTGATGAAGTGACTCACTCTTATATCTTCTTGGGATCTTTGTTTGGAATTCTTGCTAACTAATGTGCCTCTGTGGCTCTCTGTAAAACAAATTTAAATTAGGAAAAAGGTGAGTATGAGAAAGAGAACTGTTTGAGACACTAAAGGAGAGTGTGAAATGCAGTACATTGAATCTAGTAATTTGTGTGAAAGACACTCAGAAATAGTGAACAGGAAATGTTTGTCATAAAAACTCAACTAGTTCATGAATGTCCTTCAGGGAAGGGGACCCACTGCCTGTCCTAGGCCTCCACAAGATTTTGCCCTCAGTGGGAGAAGAGACAAAAGAGCAGTGGGATACTTAAGGACACAGTTTCCTACACCTACATCACAGGAATAACTTTGACAGATCATCCCTCCAATGAGGTCAAGACCAGTGTGTACGGGGAAAGAGTACATACAAGCTCCCCTCCCAGGCACACTCTTGACCTCATGTGGACACATGTCACTATTTCTCTATAGCTGCTGTCTGACAATCATGTAACTCCTCACTGAACAGCACTATGGAAGAACTGTCACAGCAGCAAATGCTGGCCTCTTTAGCCTTGCTCACGTCCCAGTAATAAAATTAGATGTAAATTAAGTACTGAGATGAGGGAAAATTTCTTTACTCAGAGACTGGTAAGCCACAGAAAGCAGTTAAGGCCAAAACATTGAATGTTTCCAAGAAGAAGATAGATATAGTTCTGAGGGCTAAAGGGATCAAAGGATATGGCTCTAAACTGGGAACAAGGTGCGGAGAAGGATGATCACTACAAACATACTGAATAATACAGCAGGATCGAACGTCGCAATGGCCTACTACTGTTCCTAATTTCTATGTTTCCATTCTGTTAAAGCTGAGGTATAAAAACAAAACGATCACAGCTGACACAGATATCAGCACTACCTTATCATCACCGGCTGAAAATCCTGAAACTCCTCACCAAACAGCAATTTGGGAGCAGCTTCACCACACGGACTGCAGCAGTTCAAGAAGGTCAAGGAGGTACAGAGTGATTTGGAAGCTTCTGGACTGGCTGCTCGGTCTCTCGTTTTCTATCCAGTTCTCAAATTGTCGAGTGTTTTGAGAAAAGTAACATAGTATGTAGGAAATAAGAAAATATCTTTGGAAGTTTGCTGAAACTATTTGCATTCACTGCTGACTTAGAAATTAGATTATGTTTCATGCGCCTCTGATCAACCCATTATCCAAGGATTGCCCAAAGGCTTGACATCCATTGTTTGAAACTGTTTAATTGAACTGACAATTTTACATTCATTTTATTTTGCTGTTTAATATATCCCTTATGTATGTCTATCAATCAGCGAGAGTGGAGGTTATGAATAAAGAAGACTGGGTTTAAAATCACAGATAGCAATTAGATTGCAAAGCTGTTAATGTTTGTTTTGCTCAAGTTATTGTTATTTCTTCTTTCTATAAACTTGGTGCCCGAGATCTGTTATTCATGAAGTCTGGTTAGGAACATTTGGGCAATTTTCGGGGTCATTCAATGTTTCAATGTTGTGACAGTGAGGCTGATTTGTTTCGAGTTGTTATCCTTGTGCTGTAATAAGTATCTAATGGTCAATATTAGCACAGAAGCAGAAATGATCTCCAGTGCAGGGCAAACAATTCCTGACCATGGGAAGATAAAGCTGGGAAATCAGCAAAATATAACCAGAGATAGACAGGAACGGAAACCTCATTGAGATGCAATCGGCAGAAATAACAACAAACCACCAAACAAGGTTCAAATAAGTCCATACTGAGAGGGGTGAGGGGAGGAGGAAGCAAGGTGGGATTGGAGTGGGGAAAGCAGTGGGACGGTGAAGGGGAGGAAGGGGGAGGGGTGGGAAGTAGGAAGGGTGAGTGGTGAGTGGGATGGAGGGGAAGAGGGGGAAGGGCTGGGAAGGTGTGAGAACGGGGGGGATGGGGAGAAGTGGGGGAAGGGTGATGGATAGGAAAGGGGAAGGGTGATGGGTAGGGAGGAGAGCGTTCAAAGAAACAATGAGATGTGGTTTTGTGGTGGGTGTGGGGAAGAACAGCCCAATTTGCAAACACCACCTCGATCAGTTCTCTCCCTCCACTCCCTGGTCTGTTTTCTCAGCCTCTTTCATACTGGTAGCCAGCTTAGTGACAAAGATGTGCACGTGGACACTCTTCCATCAATTTCAGTCACTAGCACATGCACAAGAGTCTCCCAAGAACATACTGCACATACTCCTTAGCGAACACAGCAATGATTTTCTGAAGAAGGGTCCAGACCCGAAATGTCAGCTTTCCTGCTCTTCTGATGCTGCTTGGCCTGCTGTGGTCATCCAGCTCTACACCTTGTTATCTCAATGATTTAACCCAGTTACCTTTGGTTTCAGTTCTATTCACAGCAAAGACAGATGAACAGTGAAGAGATAATTTTAAAAAGTAGAAAAACAACAAAACTGACCAGATTACTTAAGCAGTTTTCATGATGCATTGTTTCACTGGTACATAGAATTTTCATGCTGTAGTGTTAATATCTAAACTCCTTTTCTCAGAAAGGTGCAATTCAAAACACTCCAGCTCTAGGCCCGAAATGTCAGCTTTCCTTCTCTTCTGATGCTGCTTGGCCTGCTGTGTTCATCCAGCTCTACACCTTGTTATCTCAGCTCTTCCTTCTGTTTGATCATATCCTCTCCCTGACTTGCTGGCACCACTTCCCAGATACTGACCTCATTAATGGCCAGAACAGTCTACAGAGTTTTTGATGAAGAACCAACCTGCAATTAACTTCCAGGCCTGGCCTCAAAAACAAACAATGGCTTGTTTATTCTTCTTAACACAAGCTGCAGCTGCTCACAGTCCCGAGGTCATTGTTCAGCTCTCAGATTCAAACCAAAAATATTTTTTAAAAAAAGTCAGTGAGGATTATAACACAGTGCACAGTAGAAAGACTTTCAACCAGTGACACAGATTGAGTAAGTGGGACATTACTCATTGGAGTTTAGAACAATGAGAGGTGATTTCATTGAAGATAATCACATTCTGAAGGGGCTTGACAGGGCAAATGCTGAGAGGATGATTCCCCCTCTTTGGAGAGTCTAGGACCAGAAAGCATAGTCTCACAATGAAGGCACCAATTTAAAACTATGATGAGGAGGAATTTCTTCTCAGAGGGTTGACAGTCTTGTAAACTTCTTGCCACAGACAGCTGAGGGGGCAGAGTCCTTATGTATATTTAAGGCTGAGATAGATTCTTGATCAGTAGGGGAATCAAGGATTACAGGAAAAACTCTGGAAAGTGGACTCGAGAACTGTCAGGTCAGCTACAATCTGATCCAAAGTCAATGTCCCGATATTTCCATAGGATCTCTATCGTGTAGGTATCTCTTGTTTCTTTTTGCTGAATGATCAGGTGTATTCTAATCCAATGGACTGAACGTCCATACAGTTTCTCTCAGCTGGACGCAGTGCAATTTTATTTCCAGTCTAAGTTAAAGCGCTTTCCAGAGTCAGGTCACTAGCACATTCTTACTCTGACTGTGTATCTGGTTACAACTCTTTCTACAGTCTACTTGGAAGACTATACGTTAAAGGGACAGGAGTAGACCATTCGGCCCCTCGAACCTGATCCACCTTTCTGAAGAAGGGTCCCAACTTGAAACGTCAACTTTCATGCTCCTCTGATGCTGCCTGGCCTGCTGTGTTCCTCCAGCCCTACACTGTATTATCTCTGACTCGAACACCTTCCAGTCTGACTCCAGTTCTTACTATCTCTGAGGGGAAGCGGTGGATCGGGAACCGGGGAGGGGAAAAGCACAGCCCCGCCCACTCACTGTGACATCACCGCGCTAACCGCGCCTGCGCACGCCCCCACCCCGCTAAATCGAGATGGTCCCCGGTGACCGGCGCCTGTTTCTGAGAAGAGGCCTGAGGATCACTGCGGCTTAAATCGAGGTGCCGGAAAACTCATGTTTGGGGCTTAAGGCCTAAACTGGGCAATTATTGATCCTTCTGGTAGGAATATTACGACAAACACTGGCCTCCGGTTCATCCTTCACTCACCGTTTGTATCTATAAAAGTCGAGCATTTCTTTCCGCCATTACTCACGACATGATTCCTCGCATCCCAATTAGCTGTGCGCATGCTTCCGCACCCTGCCCGTGATTGATGACGTACAGAGCCAATAGCAAGCAAGGGGCGGGACCGGAGGCGGAGCTGCTGGTCCTCCAACCAATCAGAGAAAACAAGGAGCCAACAAAAACAGAAGTTGCTCGAAAAGCTCAGCAGGTTCGGTAGCATCTGTGAAGAAGAAAAATAGAGTTAATGCTTTAGGTTCGGAAACCCTTCCTTAGAACTGATATTAGCTAGGAAAATGTCAGTTTATATGCGCAAGATAGAGTGAGGGGACTGGTTAAGGAGTAAATGATAGGTGGGGATAGAGTCCAGAGAGAGAAGAAAAGTTGGACATACAAAGGAGTTGCTAACGATCTGGCTAGGAGGGTGAATAGCTGTTAATGGAGACAGTTAGTTAACAATAGGTAGTGGATAATAGCAGACTATGTGATAACAAGGCCTGGTGTTTATGGTAGGGGACTAGGACATGGGAGAGTTCAGGCCCTAAAATTATTGAACTAGATATGGAGTCCAGAGGGCCACAAGGTCCCCAAGTGAAAAATGAGGTGTTATTCTTCCAGTTTGCGCTGAGCTTTGCTTGCACACTTCAGCGGGCCTGACACAGATGTTGGCCAGGGAATAGGGTGGTGTGTTAAACTGGCAGGCAACTGGAAGTTCAGGGTCTTTTTTGCAGGCAGAACGTAGATGTTCTGCGAAGTGGTCACAAAGTCTACGTTTTGTTTCCTGAATGTAGAAGAGACCATGTTGTGTGCAGCGAATGCCGCAGACTAGATTGTGAGAAATGCAGGTAAAGTGCTGCTTCACTTGGACAGTATCTTTGGCATCTTGCATGCTGACGTTGTCCACCCCAGTTCAACACCAGCACCTCCACATCATGGATAGAAAACTATGTTGTAATGAAGACACGAGATTGCAGGCAGATATAAATAGGTTTAGCGTAGGTGTGAAATATTTTGCAGATGGAGTATAATGTAGGAAAATGTGAAGTCATTCACTTCAGCAGGAAGAGTAAATAAAAGCAGAATATTCCTTAAATGGAGAATGACTGCAGAATTCTGAGGTGCAGAGGAATTTAGGGGTTATAAAGAATGAGTCACAATGTTAGTATGCAGATTTGGCATGCAATCAAGAAAGCTAATAGGCTGTATTCTTTATTATGGCAGCAAATTAAAGATAAATGTAAGGATGTTTTACTTCATTTATACAGGGAGTTGGTGAGACCACATCTTGATTAGCATGTACAGGTTTTGGTCTTCTGTAAATTTTTTGGAGCTGGTTCAAAGGAGGTTTACTAGGTTGATAATGGAATCAGCAGATTGTCTAAGGATGAGAGGTTGGGCAGAGAAAAAGAGAAAGAAGGTGGATTAGAACTGCTGATTAAAACAGGAAAGTAATGTGATTGTGAGGTGGTGAAGTGGTGAAGTAGAATCTGTATGGGTCGAACTTAGAGACACCAAAGAGCAGTAAATGATTCGTATTTGTGTATAGACACCAAGCTGCAGTAGCAATACTGGGGAAGGCATTAGAATGGAGTTTAGAGGTGCACATAATAAAGTTATGGCCATAATTATGGGTGACTTTAACCTGCATATAAATTGGGCAAATCAAATCAGTAGCAATACAATGGAGGAGGAATTCTTAGTGTGTATATGGAACAGTTTTATGAATCAAGATGCTGAAGAAGCAACTGGGCATTGGATAATGAGAAGGGAATAATTCACAATCAAATTAAGTATAGGCCTTAGGGAAGAGTGACCACAATAGAATAGAATTCTTCATTAAGATGCAGAGTGATGTCATTGTTTCTGAGACCAAGGTCCTCAAATTCAATAAATTATGATGGTAAGAGACGTGAGCTGATTGTGATAAATTGTGGATCAGTATTTAAATGGATGATGGAAAATAGGTAATGGCAAACATTTAAAGAGCGTATGGACTACAAACGTTATTCATCCCAGTCTGGCACAATGTGGAGAAACGTAGTCAAATCATGGCAAAAATGGGAAACGATAGTTAAGAAAATTTAAGGAAAGTGCATACAAATTAGCCAAATAATCCACCTGAGGATTGGGAACAGTTTAGATTTCAGCTAAGGGACACAGAGTGATTGATGAAGAGGGAGAAAATACAGTATGAGAGTACACTTGCAGGGACCATACAAACCAATCTTTTGTTTTAAATTCATACTCAGGGTGTGGGCAGGATATATGCCAGATTGGTTCAGGATGACTGTTTCTCTGCCTAAAGGGCAATAGTGAACAGGTGGATTTTTCCTGATGACCAACAATGGATTCATGGTCATCATTAAACTCTGAATTCAAGATTGATAGTAAAAGATTAGTAAAGATGAATGTAGGGTCTCCTACAATCAGAAACAGGGGAATTTATAATGGAGTGTAAAGTGATGGCAGACCAATTATATGTTTGTGCCTTCAAAAATGAGAATGCAGGTAACATCGTAAAAATAAGGGGGACCACGGCATCTAATGGGGAGGAGGAAGTGAGTAAATTAGTAATTAAAGGAAATTAGTAATAGGAAAATGATATTGGGAAAACTGATGGGAGTAAATGCAGATAAATCCCCAGAGCCTGGTAATCTTCATCTCAGATTAACTAATGAAATGATCCTAGAAATAGTGGATACACTAATGGTTATCTTCTCAAATTCTATAGACTCTGGAAGAGTTCCTATAGATTAGAACGTAGCTAATGTAACCCCAGTATTTAAGAAGGGAGGCAGAGAGAAAATAGGGAATAGGTCTTGGGGAAAATTGCTAGATTCCAATATAAATGCTCTGAGAGAAAAGAAATGTTTCCTCATCTCTGTTTTAAATGGGCTCGCCCTTCCTTTAGAACTGTGACCCCAAGTTCTAGATTTTCCCACAAGAGGAATCATGTTTTCAGCATTCACCTGGTCAGGTTGTCTCAGGATCTTTTCTGCTTCAGTTTCGTCTCTTCATTCTCTTCCAGACTCCAGAGGATACAGGTCTAATCTGCATTTCATCATAAGGCTACCACTCATTCCAGGTATTAGTCCGTTAATCCTTCTCTGAACTGCTTCCAACATATTAATAGTCTTCTGTAAGTACGGTGACCTGTACTGAACACACTACTCCAGATGCAGTCTCATCTGTCAGGATTGGGTGTATCTGAAGGTGGCACAGGAATTCTCACTTGCTTACAGTAATATTTTTTCAGCAAGCTGTGGTCATCCTCAATGATGAAAGAGCCCTGGACATCAGTACAAAAGATAAGGCTGAAGCTTTAGCAGCAATCTTCAGCCAGAAGTGTCGAGTGGATGATCTATCTCTGCCTTCCCTAGTGGTCCCCAGCATTGCAGATATCAGTCTTCAGCCCATTTGATTCACTCCACGTGATATCAATTAATAATTGGAGACACAGGATACTGCAAAGGCTACGAGCCCTGACAACATTCTGGCAACAGTTATGAAGGACAAAAACATAGTTGCTGGAAAAGCTCAGCAAGTCTGACAGCATCTTTGAAGGAAAAGACAGAGTGAACGTTTCAGGTCCAGTGACCCTTCCTCAGAGCTTAATAATACGGAAGACTTGTGTTCCAGAACTTGCTGCTCCCCTAGTCAAGCTGTCCCATTACAGTTACAACACTGTCACCTACCTGATAATATCGAAAATTGCCCAGGTACATCCTGTACATAAAAAGCAGGACAAATCGATCCCAGCCAATTATTACCCCATTAGTCTACTCTTGATCATTAGTAAAGTGAAAGAGGGTGTCATCAACAGTGCTACCAAGCAGCACCTGCACAGTAATAACATTTCTGAAGAAGGGTCTAGGCCTGAAACGTCAGCTTTCCTGCTCCTCTGATGCTGCATGGCCTGCTGTGTTCATCCAGCTCTATACCGTGTTATCTCAGGAATAACTTGCTCAGTGATGCCCAGTTTGGGTTCTGCTAGGGCCACTTAGCTCCTGACCTCATCCTTAGTTCAAAAATGGACAAAAGAGCTGAATTCCAGATGTGAGCTGAGAGTGACAGCTCTTGACATCAAGGCTGCATTTGACCAAGTGTGGCATCAAGGAGCACTAGCAAAACAGGAATCAGTGGAAATTAGGGGGCAAAATCTCTGGTGGTTAGAGTCATATCTGACACATAGGAAGATGATTGGGGTTGTTGAAGGTCAGTAACCTTAGCTTCAGGACATCAGGATCATCCGGGATGCAGAGAACATCATTGATAAGAGCTATAGTGAAGTGGTCACTCCTAAGATGCAGGCTGCAGGTAGCTGAGTGACCACCAGAAGAGGTAAAGGTGGAAGGCCCATAATGCAGGCCTTTCTCCTCAGTAACTAGTATACCGCTTTGGATACTGTTGGGGGGAATGACCATTCAGGGGCTAGCAGCAGCAGTCAGGTCAGTGGCACTGTGACCGACTCTGAGGCTCAGAGGGAAAGGGTGCAGTCAGACAGTGCAATACTGACAGGAGACTCAATTGTGAGGAGGACAGACAGGAGATTTTGTTGCCGCAGAAGAGACACCAAGATGGCAGATGGAGAAATTTGAATATAAATAATAAATACTCAACTTCAAACAAAAATAATTACTCTAGTTTCATGGGGACTATGAACCCATTGTTAACTGCTGTGAAAAAAACACCTGGTCCTCTAAAGTCTTTGATTGAAAGAAAGCCTGGTCAACATGGGACCTCAGACCCACAGCATTGTGGTTAACTGAACTGCCATTTGAAATTGCACAGCAAGCCATTTAGCTTAAGCAAAAAATAGTGAACTTGCCAGCTATAGCCACACCTAAGAGAGAAGAAAAGAAAAGAAAACAGATGATATTGAGGATGCTGGCCAGATGATGAAACACAGGACAAGGCTATGGTACTGCTTTGGGCACAAGAGCTTAACAGCTCTGTGACATAGCCAGACAGTTTCTTGGATGGCGAGGGCGTTATCCAATTTGAATTCTTATGTTAACTGGTTCTGTAATCATTTTTTTTTAGATTGAGGCTTCCTTCCCCTCTTCAAATCCCTCATTTACCAGTTGTTGATCATTTGGATGAATTTCAGTGTCGTCAGGATATTCCGAGAGACGTATGCGCTTTTCACCAAAGTAAAGATGGCTAAACAGTGTAGTTATCAGAAAATCATGTTCATGGTTATTTTTTATATTCTGTTTTGGACCACACCAAACACCCTCAAAATATATTAAGCAGATAGCCTAGACCCTTTTTCCCCGTTATTTTAAAGGCAAGTGCCAGGTGTTGCACTCCAGACGGAATTTGATTTGTCAGTCTACGAGATTTGAAGCAAAACACACTTTATTCTGACAACATATAGTTAAAGTACGACAAAAGAAAGAAGAAATAGGAATAACTTAACTCTCTAGAAATACTTAACAGATGAATTGATTATTTTACTCCCAAATAATAACTGTTCCAATATTGTAACATACCATGAACACACCGTTAGCAAAGGCAAATTCAGAAAACAGATTGTCACACATGCAATCAGAGATAGTAGGAACTGCAGATGCTGGAGAATCCGAGACAACAAGGTGCAGAGCTGGATGAACACAGCAGGCCAAGCAGCATCATAGGAGCAGAAAGGCTGATGTTTCGGGCCGAGACCCTTCATCAGAAATGGGGGAGGGGAAGGGGGTTCTGAAATAAATAGGGAGAGAGGGGGAGGTGGATAGAAGATGGATAGAGGAGAAGATAAGTGGAGAGGAAACAGACAGGTCGAAGAGGCGGGGATGGAGCCAGTAAAGGTGAGTGCAGGTGGGGAGTTAGGGATGGGATAGGTCAGTCCAGGGAGGACGGACAGGTCAAGGGGGCGGGATGAGGTTAGTAGGTAGGAGATGGGGGTGGGGCTTGAGGTGGGAGGAGGGGATAGGTGGGAGGAAGAACAGGTTAGGGAGGCAGGGACGAGCTGGGCTGGTTTTGGGATGCGGTAGGGGGAGGAGAGATTTTGAAGCTTGTGAAATCCACATTGATACCATTGGGCTGCAGGGTTCCCAAGCAGAATATGAGTTGCTGTTCCTGCAACCTTCGGGTGGTATCGTTGTGGCACTGCAGGAGGCCCAGGATGGACATGTCATCTGAGGAATGGGAGGGGGAGTTGAAATGGTTCGCGACTGGGAGGTGCAGTTGTTTATTGCGAACCGAGCGTAGGTGTTCTGCAAAGCAGTCCCCGAGCCTCCGCTTGGTTTCCCCGATGGAGAGGAGGCCACAACGGGTACAGCGGATGCAGTATATCTGCCTCTTTGTAGGTTACGTGGAACAATCCCTCTTCCGTACCTACACTGGCCCTAAACGCCACCTATTCCTCCGTTACATTGATGACTGTGTCGGCGCCGCCTCGTGCTCCCACGAGGAGCTCGAACAGTTCATCCACTTCACCAACACATTCCACCCCAACCTTAAGTTCATCTGGACCATCTCTAATACCTCTCTCTCCTTCCTGGACCTCTCTGTCTCCATCTCGGGCAACCACTTAGAAACCGATATCCATTTCAAGCCCACCGACTCCCACAGCTACCTCGAATACACCTCCTCCCACCCACCTTGCTGCAAAAATGCCATCCCCTATTCCCAACTCCTTCGCCTCCGCCGCATCTGCTCCTAGGATGAGGCATTCCACTCCCATACACCTCAGATGTCTTCGTTTTTCAAGGACCGCAACTTCCCCCCCTGAGTGGTCGAGAACGCCCTCAACCGTGTCTCCCACATTTCCCGCAACTCATCCCTCACACCCCATCCCCGCAATAAGAACCAAAAAAGAATCCCCCTCGTCCTCATGTACCACCCCACCAACCTCCGGATCCAATGCATCATCCTCCGACACTTCCGCCATCTGCAATCCGACCCCACCATCAAAGACATCTTTCCCTCCCCACC